AAATTAAAAGTCCACAACGTGTTTCGCCATAAAGGGCTTCTTCACGTGTACATAGTATTAGCCTGGCACATGTGGGTTTATATAGGGCCCAAATAATCAACAAATTGGAAATGGTGTCTTATTTGACCTATGAGGACTAAATTAGGTCCAATGTAGAGTTGAGCGGACACCTGGATGTTCGGGTTCAGCAGGTTCGGCTGAACTTTGAAAAAAAGTCCGGGTTCGGGCTCAAACTTGACCCCGAACCCCATTGAAGTCAATGGGGACCTGAACTTTTGCCCACAAAAATGCCTCTAAAAAACTCCTGGAAAGGGCTAGCGAGCTGCAAAAGGAAGTAAAATGGGGTAGGTAAGAGTAAGACAAGTGCCCTGCAAACAAATGTGGATAGGGAAATCACTTAAAATAACATAAAATACCTAAAAAAATAAAAATACAGCTGAGCCATAAAATAGTACTAGATGGAATCTTTGATTTTAGCTTTGGAAGAACATAAATCAAAATCTAAAGCATGCTGTCAGGAGGATCACCAGAATTATCCATTTGAGAGAGGGTTGGAGTGCAGGGGATTCTCTTTCATTATTCAAACTGAGCTCAACTCCTGATGCATGGAGAAAAGGCCTTCACAAGCCTCTGCTATTGTGTACATAGTTTATTCTAAGTGACCCATAGTTTGAGGAGGCGGTGACGGTGTAGGTGGAAGCGGCGATGGAGGAGGAGGTAGCCAACACTGTTTTTCATATATATATATATTATTTTAATTGGGGTAGCCCCCAAAATATTGGGATATATAAAAAAAAAAATACATTTGCGGCCTGTGGTGCATTTCTTGCAGTTCTGATTCATGGAGAAATGCTCAACTCCTGATGCATGGAGAAAAGGCCTTCACAAGCCTCTGCTATTGTGTACATAGTTTATACTAAGTGACCCATAGGTTGAGGAGGCAGTGACCATAGGTGTAGGTGGAAGCAGCGGTGGAGGAGGAGGATGAGGTAGCCAACACTGTTTTTTATGTTTGTTTTTTTAATTGTGGTAGCCCACAAAATATTGGGACATACAAAAAAGACAACTCTGTTCCACAGAGTAGCTATTGACAGGCGCGCAAATGACCCACTTCCGACGCGGGAAGGTAGTGACGACAAATTACAATACAGGACTCTTTAGAGGCTCTGTAATTGTAATGAGTCAACTTGAAATTCTTTAACTCTGATCAATTGGAGGGAAGTCTGGTGCAGAGCCACTGACCCGTGCGTGCTGCAGCTGAAACGCCACTATCGCCTGCTGCTGCTCACACAGTCTCATGAGGCAGTGAGCGGGAAGGTCGAAGTTACACTGCAGCGCAGATAGGCGAGCAGCTGCAGGGTGAGCATGCCAAAAGCCCACACAGCTGCTACAGTGAATGTCACATACTGTTCCAAGTTGCGAATCAGTCTGGTGATGGCTTCTTGTATCCAGTACTCTTTTTACTGATGCTGCATGAGGGTCCTCGTATATGGTCGCACAAACGCTGGTGCTCAACACCAGAGGGCGTGCGGTTACCCTGCACCAGACCCTGCTAATCCATTCCACACTGTGACGCCTAACTTCAACATCAGGCATACTGGGTCCTGGTCGTCCATCCGCCGCCCAGACAGTGTCTGGTTCCTGGTCACCAGACTGCCCACCTGACTGTGAAACTACGAATGGATTGTAAAATCTGGTACAAACCCGAAATTTGCAGTTCGGGTTCGCTCAACTCTATTATGGATCCTTTGATTGCTACATGTATTACTTGGACGAGCGCTAGGGGACGGCCACTCCGCTTTTGCACCCTGCTCCATCTTATGCTGTGCTGGTGCCTCTGTGCGACCAGCTCCTCTTCCTCCAAACTGCACATGTCACTCACATGATCTTCATTCCATGTGAGGTCTAGGACCTCATCATCCTCCACATCATCTTCCACCCACTCCTCAACCCTGCCCTCCTTGCAGGTCTGCACACTGCAGAAAGCCACATCAGTTGGCACTTGTGTTTTTCCAGAATGTAAAGTCTGCAAAGGACATAAGGAAATTGTTTTAGAATTGTATCCAGGCAACAGTTTTCCCTTTAAACTGACCTCTCAGTTTGACTTGTGAGGGTATTGCCCCAGAATTACAATATTGTTTAAGAACCTCTTAGCTATTGATAACTTGTTTAAATATAGCAGCTTGTTATCTGGTAGTTTCTAGTGTAGAAAATATCAATCTGTTTTCTATCACTTAGATCTGTGTAACAAGTGTTGTAGGTGTGAAACAATATTACAAGTGACCAATGTAGTAAATTTGAATCAATGTTCCATTTGCAAAAAAAATTCTCGCCCATCATCTGTGGGTTATTGCATTTTTAAGATGTAGACTTATTGTATCACACTAGCCATGCATAGGTAGATTGTCTGGCACGTTGTTTTGGTGTTTGGTTTTTAACTTTGTAGTTGTGTCTTTACACACTATAGAAATGTATATTAATGCTTCTGTATTTGAAGCATTCACAATAACACTTATTTTTCAATTTATTTTTTTAAATCAGGCTAAGCAAAAATTGGTAATTAACAATATGACATCTGAAAAGCACATGGGAAAAAAAAAAAGAACACACTACATGAAGGTCCTGTTCATTAGAGTGTGTAGTCATGAATGTAACCAGTAAAACTTTGTCTTTACAGCCACTGGTTGGCCCATACATATTTTAAAACTTGTTTAATTTTGTTATAGCATGACTTGTAGTCTTGTTTTTAACTTGTCTATAATACATATTTTTGTATGACACAGTGTGCTTTTTCATTGATTATTAAATTTTAATGGTCTAAGATAATTAACATGTCAACAGGCAAACGTAACCCGAATGATTTGTCTCAGTCTTGCCTTCCATTGGCAACATTTATTTGTCTGTAGACTTTATTGAGAAGCGGTAACTAGCCAGTGTTGCACACATACACCAAATATGAAGTGCACACCCCAAATGTACTATTTAGCACCCAAAAAAAAATCAAATTTTTAAAACTGCAATGTAACCACAGTATTTGACGGTTCTATTTGACTCTCAGATATGAAGACCAAGCCCCAAAATGTACTATTTAGCAGATTAGCAGCAAAGCAATTAGAATGCTTACAACTGCGCTGTAAGCGCACTATTAGACGCTTCTATTTTACTCTCAGATATGAAGTGCATGCCCAAAATGTACTATTTAGCAGATTAGCACCAAGAAAATAAGAATTTTTACAACTGTGCTGTAAGCGCACTATTAGACGCCTCTATTTGGCTCTCAGATATGAATAGCACCCCACTAATGTACTATTTAGCAGATTAGCACCCAGTAAATAAGAACTTTTACAACTGCGCTGTAAGCGCACTATTAGACGCTTCTATTTGACTCTCAGATATGAAGAGCACGCCCAAAATGTACTATTTAGCAGATTAGCACCCAGAAAATGAGAATGCTTACAATAGCGCTGTAAGCGCACTATTTGACGCTTCTATTTGATTCTCAGATATGAAGTGCACCCCACTAATGTACTAGTTTGCAGACTTCTTTCCTTAGTTGTCCCTCACAGCGGCAGCATCCTCTCCTTACACTAATAAGACCTCGTGTGTGCAGCGCTACGCGACTCCAGCTTATATATAGAGGCTGGGTCACATGCTGCACTGGCCAATCACAGCCATGCCATTAGTAGGCATGGCTGTTATGGCTGCTAAGGGCACACGAGTCAAACGCTTGTTGATTGGCTGCCCTGCATCCTTTCAAAACGCGCCATTAAATCCCCAAACACTGAACTCCAACCCGAACATACAGTGATATGTCCGTGTTCGGATACGGAGTCCAAAAAAACGTAAGGTTCGGTACGAACCCGAACTTTACAGTCCGGGTTCGCTCAACTCTATTTAGCACCTAAAAAATTTGAATGTTTAAAACTGCAATGTAAGCACAGTATTTGACGTTTCTATTTAGTGCAGGCCCCAAATGTACTATTTAGCACCTAAAAAATTTGAATGTTTAAAAATGCGCTGTAAGCCAAGTAGTTGATGCTTCTATTTGACTCTCAGATATGAAGTGCACCGCAGGCCGCAAATGTACTATTTAGCACCATAAAATGTGATTTTTTTTTTTTTTTTTTTAAACCAACAATGTAACAGTAGTATTTAAGGGTTTTATTGGACTGCAAGAAATGCAGTACGCAAATGTACTGTTTAGCACCCAAAATGTTTTTATATAAAAAAATCCTAGATGTTGCCAACTGAGTTACCAGAACAGGATTAAAGTAATGTGCCTGGTACACATGCAGTTGCAAGTGCACTGCACTCTCTGTGGCACTGGGCTCAGGGCAGGGTACAAAAATGTAGTATAGCACCCACAAAAACAATTGCTGTTGTTTGCAGATTCAACTCCAGCCCGAACATACAGTGATATGTTCGTGTTCGGGTCCGGGGTCCAAAAACCGTAATGTTCGGTAGAAACCCGAACTTGACAGTTCGGGTTCGCTCAACTCTATTTGCAGCATATTTACTGAAATCAAAAGCTATTTCAATCAAACTTATAACAACATTTTAACAGGTCACGTTACATTTTAACATAGGACCCCTTAGTTGATAGCAGCTTCACAAGTCTTGCATTCATTGAACTTGTGAGTTTTTGGACAGTTTCTGCTTGAATTTGTTTGTAAGATGTCAGAATAGCCTCCCAGAGCTGCTGTTTGGATGTAAACTGCCTCCCACCCTCATAGATCTTTTGCTTGAGGATGCTCCAAAGGTTCTCAGTAAGATTGAGGTCAGGGGGAGGATGGAGGCCACACCATGACTTCCTCTCCTTTTATCCCCATAGCAGCCATTGATGCAGAGGTATTCTTTGCAGCATGAGATGGTGCATTGTCATGCATGAAGATGATAGTTCTTCCTTCTGTACCAGGGAAGAAAGTGGTCAGTCAGAAACTCCACATACTTTGCAGAGGTCATCTTTACACCTTCGGGGATCCTAAAGGGGCCGACCAGCTGTCTTCCCATGATTCAGGCCCAAAACATGACTCCACCACCGGCTTGCTGACGTTGCAGCCTTGTTGGAACAGGGTGGCCATCCACCAACCATCCACTACTCCATCCAGGGTTGCATGGCACTCATCAGTGAACAGGACTGTTTGAAAATGAGTCTTCATGTATTTTTCTGCCCAATGCAGCTGTTTCTGCTTGTGAGCATTGGTTAGTGGTGGCCAAATATAAGGTTTATGCACAGTTGCAAGACTCTGGAGGACTCTACACCTTGATGTCCATGGGACTCCAGAGGCACCAGCAGCTTCAAATCTGTTTGCTGCTATGTAATGGTATTTTTTCAGCTGCTCTCTTGATCCGATGCATGGATCTGGCAGAAATCTTCCTCAATGTTCCTTTATCTTAAATATATATATATTCTTAAATTGCTATGTGAAAAAAATCACCAATTTTTTATTTATTTTTTGGCATAGAATGGTGGTAACAGTGGTGGATTGGGCGGGGCAATTGCCTCGAGAATACCGACGGTCTCCCTCTCCCTCCCCTGCCAGCCCTGCAATGTGCCTGCGGACCGGAGGGGAGATCACAGATCTCCCTCCCCGGTCCGCAGGCACTATGCTGACAGCCGGCAGGGGAGGGAGGGAGAGGGAGGGAGGACCCGGAGCTCAGTCTGCAGCTCCTCCGGGCCCTCATCTCGCGAGATTTGGAGCGTTGCCGTGATTACCACGGCAACGCTCCAAATCTCGCGAGTGTGAACTCTAGCCCGGGAGCGTGGGCTAGAGTTCACTCTCCCCACTGGGACCACCAATGAATCCTCCACCGGACCACCAGGGAAATGTCCCCCCTCCTCCCAGTAAAGGGAAGAAGGGAGGGGGGACATAGAATATTTATTTAAATAAAATAAAAAAATATATATTTAAAAAAAAAAAAGCCCCCATACCCTTATATCACACACACATACACCCACACTGCCCCCATACACCCACACTGCCCCCCATACCACCCCATGCACACACACTGCCCCCCATACACCCACACTGCCCCCCTATACACCCATACTGCCCCCATACACACACACACTGCCCCCATACACTGCCGCCCCATACACACACATTGCCCACACTCACACATACACTGCAATACTCACACACACACACACACTGCAACTGTTACACACACATACTGTCCCACACATACACTGCATCCCTGACATACACTGCCGCTCTCACACACGCTCACACACTGTCCCCCTCACACACACACTGCACCCCTT